CGGGCAGGAACACCTCGTAGATGTTCGCTGGCAACAAGTCTACAAGGTTTTCGATGTCGGTGACTTCGTCTCAATATCATCAGCGCTGGAGAGCTCCAAGACGGGGTGGGTGATTTCGGCTGGCACAGAGGAAGAGATCAAAGAGGATGTCGCTGCTGTCGTTTCACGCCAAAAGGCTCTGGTTGCCCAAAGGCCGCAAGAGTTCAAACCGAGTTATATCTGGACCGACCAACAGCAGCAACGGGTCATCAGGCTTCGCCAAAAGTCTCTACACATCCTGTGCCATCAGAGACATCACAGTGGTGAAACTTCTACCGAAGTAAGTCAGTTGAACTTTCCGTCGATGGTTCAAGTCTCATCCGAAGTACTAGTTCTTCTACGTTCACAAAAACTCATGCACCAAAATCCAACCCGACATCTTCAAACCGTCGTCTACATTTGCGTCACACGGCGCTGCAGACAAAGAGGTCAAGTCGTTGGCACGGCCACCGGAGATATGTTTGGGAACACAGCTCCAAATGCGCTTTCTGAAAGCACAAGCTGAGGATGCTAGCTCTGGTCTCAAGTATCCCAATTCGGACAAAGTCGGTGCCCCGCCGACCGTTGTGAGAAGTTTCCCCAAGTTTGTCCTTAGCCCGGGCTACTACACCGGCCGTGAGCCTTGGCTCAACCGCCCAGTAGTCATTCAGCGGGGGGAATTTAAAGGTCGAAAAGGGAATGTTTCCGCTGTCACCCTTCACAATTGGCATTCGAACGCGGCATCGGCGTTAAAGGCGAACAGTAACAGTTTGGTTCGGGCAGACCAGGGGTCAATGAAAAGGAACGAGAGTTGGCTGTGGGTGCACGTCACTCTGCATACGGGTGGACAGTTCAACAAGCATGTTGTTATTGTCAAATACGAGCATGTCGCCGACGAAAGGTGTGATGTTCGCTAGTTGACTGATGTGTGTTTGACTAACTGGTACTGTAGAACTTTGGCTCCATTACGCATAGCACGACCACTTACGGCTCTTCATGTCCAAGCTGGATATATCGGAAACCGGGCATACTACGTCAAGGAAGCTTCTGAATTGGCTGGACAAGTCCTCAAGGTCAAAAAGACTCGTCCGGCAACTGCGTTACAAGTCCTTCGATCTCAACAAACAGCGTCTACGTCTTCTCCTCGCCAAACGACGCCAGCACCATCTCCTAGCCCGACGCCACCGGCCCCCGATGGAGCTTGGTATGCGAAAGATTTCTTGGTTGGGTGGGACTTGCGCGTCCTCAATTCGAAATCGAAAGCCAAACGACCAGAAGCCATTTCCGTTCGAGTTCAACGATTACCTTCTGGTGAAATTGAACTCTTCAGAACGACGGCGCATGGTGTTCAAAGCAAACCCCTCAACGGCGAGGACTACCTTCCTGTTCACCCGGGCAAGTTTCCGAATATAAAGTGTCGTTGGGTTTGCTATCGTGGTCAGCACCAAGGTACATTCGTCCGCGGCATTCGGGTGGAACATCGGGTAGAAACAACACCGTTTCAGATTTTGTCAGAGGACGTCTTCAACTGGTACAGTTTAGTGGTGACACCACGTCGAGGGGAAAAGGATGTCGAGTTACCAGATCAACTGTCGGCTAATGATGAGGACCTGGTTGTTATGGCTGACGATGAGGCAACACTCGCTGCAAACGTTGAATACTCCACAAGGAAAGAGGGCTCTCGTGATGGCGGCCGAGGCAGGTATGGAGAGACTCGACGCTTATAATGTATTTTATATGTAATATGATTGTCTACTTATGCTAGCCCGCCTTGAATGTGAGTATTTCACGGGCCGAAAACATGTACGTCTGCTAAATAGTTATAAATGTGCTGATGATTCTGGCTAGGATTTATCCCTTGGAATAGGACTGCCCTACGGGTGGAGGGAAGTCCGGCGTCTGGCCTCTACGTGGCCCAAGGGACTAGTACTCGGGTTTGCATCCTGAGGAAGCCAACAGACGCGTGGTGGTAGGCGAGTACATCGTGGGGATGTGTGGCCTCTACGTGGCCCAAGATGTACTCGCATTTTCATCCTGAGGAAGCCAACCCACGGTGGTGCACGTTGACTGGACCCCTCACGTGCTCGCATTTGCCCATGCACGCAAAAAAACTGTGCTCGAGTGCAGCCCCGGTACTCGGACCGATCCCGCCGATCGCGTATGCAAAACTGTGCTCGAGTCCAGCCCCGGTAGTCGGACCGATCCCGCCGATCGCGTGGATTTGCCGCCTGCATTGCTACCGATCAGCGCTGGCGGGCGCTTATTCTACGCCTCCCTCGACAATATCCACGCGCACGCTTTCCCCGACACCATGTCCACCGCCGACACCATGTCCGCCGCCGATACCACATCTACCGCCCTCACCACGTCAACCGCCAAACTCTACTACAACCACACTATTACGGCCAGGATCTGGGGTCATTGGAAGGGGGATTCCAAGACCACCATAGGCGGCGTAGCGCTACGAGACGCGGCGGCGCAGTACGAGGCCGATTTCGGTGGACGGGCCCGCATCTTCGCTCTGATGTGCGTTGTTTTTATTCTTTGGAGCGCAGATTTCGTTATCGCGTCTCAGGCCCTCGTACTTTCATTATTCCCCTGCCGAGTCGACGGATTCGCTGCCCCTCAAGCATTTGACCATTCGTGTCTACGGCGCCGATGGCTTCGCCATAGGCTGCGTGGAATGGGCGGGACCGGAGAGGGAGAAGTCGAAGAGATGGGTGTACGACGAGGAGACGGTTAACAAGTACCGTTGGGCGTGCTGGGACGTTGAGGAGGATTTGCGTGAGGCGAAGCACTTCTTCGTTCCGGGATGTTACTACAAGGTTGGTGTTTCTATGCATCTTGCTATTCTTCGGCTAATCCTTGTTCAGTTGTTTGACCATTTGTAGGATTGGACGCAGACGCATTACTTATTATGTACTTTTGGATCTGTGGCGATGAATTAGCGGTTCTTTTTTTGTTGTAGTACCTCCCTTATACCGGTCCCAAGGCATTGACATGGTCTAAAGCGTTCAACCGGAGGTCCGTTTCTATCTTTATTGTTCTTTTTGGGGGCGTATAGCTAACCGATATCTCCTAGTAACAGTCCACACTCCAACGAACAATGAGATACCACGTGCTGGGCAAACAAGATACAAACATGGAAGGTTAGTCTTCTTTGTCCTCATCTCATCTCACTCTCGACTTATAAAAGTCTGGCCCTACAGAGTCCCCAAACTCTCGTATCATTCAAATACGTCGGTGTGTCAAGTCCTTCGGAACGAGACAACTGAACCTCATTTCTCTAGCCATGGGACGTAGTGCCAAACGCAAATCGACGAAGGCGTCCAAGTCAAGGCTGACAGACTCCGGTGAACCCTTCCAATCCCGGCTGCAGTTTAAAAGCAAGGGGAAGCAACTACGAGCGAACATAGAGAGTAACCGGACCGTAACTCTCATATTTTACCTTGCAGTGAGTCCACGCCTCCGGTCACTTCAAACAAAGACTAAACCTAGTCTCAGCATCACGCGCGACGTACTGTACATCTGGCGAACGTCGGCCGATACGTGACTCTGGGGGATCATTGGATCGAGCTTTTTCAACACCATATCCTACCACGCCCAAACGTTAGGATCCTACCGACTGAAGGACTGTCGGTACTGGCCGCAGACTCCTGGCGCACCATCATGTGGACAGGAGGTTTAATTCCGGTTCCCCGCAACCCGAACAAACCTGTATTCGTGCATGCTACCAACGACGCGTTGCCGGAGGATTGGATGGTCGATATTGGACAATTTCTTGAACCATTGTAGCTACCCATACAAGTAACACTGTTCTACGTTATAGTGAATATATTACCTGTACATACTTGACGACGGTATTTAATGCGCCACACATGCCCCGCGCAGTACATTACCTATTTAGGACATGTGGACAGCAACAATGGATAGGGTCGGGATATACGATGACGCGCGATTGCCACACAAAGGACCACGCTATGTCCTTTGTTTGTTCAAATAATAATGGTATGCTATCCCATCTTACTCCATTGTTCCTCCTCTCACCACTACCATCAGCTGTCGTTCCCCGTCGCTGCCAGACAACTATGGCGACCGCTGTCGCTCGTCGCATGAAAGCGCTTGAGACCGGAGCCTCGTCTCAAGGACCAGCGGCTGGTCGATTAGACTACCGCGAGGGGCAGAGGAATGTCCACCAGGCTACAACAATCTCGAACGGACAAGTCACAGTGCTGCAGCAACCAACAAGCGCCCCAGCGATCCCGCTCGTTTACCAGGCCAAAAATACGTTTTGTGCCAAATAGCCTAGTCTGAGGACAAACATTGGTTTGGCAAACATGTTATCCAACGACTGTCAGTCCATAGACACTGTTTGGCAAATTATCAGTAACGTGCCTCAGCATCTATTTGACAAATTACTACTAAATACTGCTCCCTAATGAAAGCATATACATGAAACTGGGCTAGCCGATAATATTCCATTTGCCAAATATCATGCCCATTGACTGTTGTGTCGATAAGCAGGCATTTGGCAAATTTGCCAAATATGTGTCTATTGACTATACTGTTCACGGACCCACTATTTGGCATGTTACTAATTATATAATGCCACACCGGTAGGGATTGGCAGTGCCCGCCACTGCGCCACAGCACATATTACAGGACCGGAATGGATTGGCGGTGCCCACCACTGCACCACAGCACACATTTATATAATGCCACACCAGCTGTCAGGACCGGTAGGGATTGGCAGTGCCTGCCACTGCGCCACGGCACATATTACAGGACCGGAATGGATTGGTGGTGCTCGCCACTGTGCCACAGTCCACATTACTATATATGCTTGAAGGCAAGTGCTGGATGGTTGAAGTTGCAGCATCAGTTAGAGTGTCTCCAGTAGTTAATAATTATTACACTTTGCAAAAAGACTTTCAGATCAAGATCATATTACACTTTGTAAAAAAATGTGAACTTTGGAGTCATGCCTACTGCGGACTCGAACCCGCATCACCCCAGATGCAGAGCAACATCTGAATCCGGTGCTCTTACCAACTGAGCCAAGCAGGCTTGTCAATTCATTACGCTCACAGGTGTTCACCCTCCGTGCAGTCCACTGTAGTTTATTAGCCAGACTAAATAATCGAAGTCACGCTGCAATCGTAAATGATGTTTTAAATCAGTACGTAGTCGTTAAGGTATCAGTAAGTAGTCGTTAAGGTATCCATCCGTAAGTAATTGTTAAGGCTAGGTGTGTCGTTATTTGAAGTCGTAAAATCGTCGTCCTGAACAGTCCTGTCCTCATCCCAATCACCAACCTCGATGCAGATCACCAACCATACAAACAGTTCGAGAATCACCAACCCATACCAACAGTTCGAGGAGTCCGAGACGCCGCAAGCAAAATTACGCCTCCCACCCCGCCGCCAGAAGCCCTTCCAAAACATAAGTGACGTCGGCCACGGCTTCACGCCATTGTCTCCCCAGCGCGTCAGGACCCTTCGTCAGCGTATGGTGTCGGCCCCACCAATGAAGACAAGCGATTACGGAAGCGAGGCCATTCCGACCCTTCGCCTGGCGCAGCTCCCCCCAGTCCCGCCCAGCTGGATCGGGCGATGCTCCTCGGTCAACGGCCATCCAACCCCGCCACATCCCTCCAAGCCGGCTGCACATGCACCCACCATCGCCAGAAATCGGTGGCAAACTTCTTGAGATCCTTACGGGCGATGTCCATAGGTTTAACCCGTCGTATGTTAACCCACTGTGTCAACGCCGCCGGTCTCTCATCCGTTGAGCGGTACCCAAGGACGACGTTTCCAAGCCGAAAACGTGCCAACCCTTCAACACGTGTCCACAAGTTCAACATTGTCTGCCAGTCATCCACGAAATGCTGTCGAATTGGTCATGACAGAGCACAAACCAGTCGGACCAGCCCGACTTGTCAAATGGATTGAACGGTGGTGACGGAGGGCAGCAACGGCGGCGCGAGTCGATGGTGGTTTTCCGCGTCTAGATGCAATCGTCGGTCGTGACGATGAAGCCTCTGCTTGGATCCTTTTGTCGCCAGTAGGCGGCACGCGATTTCGCTGGCTAGACCTCGTAACACGGTCGGTAGCCTCCACCGTCTTCTTTCGCACGTCAAGGCCAGCGCCTTCCAGCCCAACGTTCGTACGGGCGAAAGGGTTCTCACCAGGCTTGATGATCGGCGAGAAATCGAAGGTGTCCATGAAGTCGTCCATATCAGCATCATCTACCCTCGTCGTGGGGGCTTCAAACTCGTCAACGTCCAAGCTGAATGAATCTGCCACCAGGTCATCCTCCGGTATTCCTTCCAAGATCTGTGGGCGATCATCCTTCTTCTTGAAGTTTGGCTTTGGCCTCGGGCGTGCCTGTCTAGGTGGATGAGATGGTGGAGGAGAAGGGGGTGGAGGAGAAGGGGATTGTGGAGGTGGTGGAGGAGATGGTGGAGGAGATGAAGGTACGCGTGATGCACCCCGGCGTAGTCGGCGGAGTTGTGGCTGAGCAGTGACCTGCTCGTCCTCGTCCGTCGCTCCCGTTGGGCTGGGAACCTGCTTCGCCAAACTGAGCAGTTGCTTCCGATGAGCGGAAGTGGCAGGTGGCGCTTTTTTCCGGCCGCGACTCGATGATACATCCACCAATGTGGCAGAACCCGATGCTGTGGAGGTCCTCGTTGTCGAAGGCAGTGCCTTCTTTCTACCCTTCTTCGCTGCTTTCTCTGGCATCGACTTCTTCTTCTTGGGAGCCACATCGCTCTCCTCCTCCTCATTCATATTCACATTCTTTCTCGGACGACCGCGAGGGCGCTTGGGAGGCGGACCGTCTTCTTCGCGCTGTCTGTCTCGTTCCTCGCGAGCCTTTCGCCGTCGGCGACGCTTCTCGTTCTCGTTACCCGAATCGTCGTCGGACTCATCGCCGCCCGAGTTCCGCTTCGCCCAATTCTCGCCCGCCGGAATGGACATATTCTGTACGACGATGACAATCTGACCATCTGTACTCCGTACGGATTTCTTGGGTGATTTCGGAACCGTTCCTGGAATGGCGCAAGCTCTCAATTCCGCCGGTGCTACAATAGCACTGTCAGTTTGAAGTTAAAGCACAACTTAAGTACGTACAATAAGCGTCGTCCAGAAATTCCTTGAACGCGTCGATATGCCTGGCGAACAGGGGAGACTTCCCGAAGGAAACCGGAATGGGGTCATGGTTTTCTCCCGGTCCAATCTACTCCCAAACTAAATATCGATTTCACATATAGCAAAGAAACAAACGTACGTTCGAATGACGAGTCGTCCACCATCAGTAGGATCTGGTACCCCATGCAGAATGACACCTTTGCATGCAACATGTTGCTTAGGGAGGTGAGGAAAGGGTCCAAAATGAAAGGAATGTTTGCGAGGAGTCTACGAGCAAAGTCAGTTCTGTGAGAGCTGCATAAATCGCATGCGTACTCTGCTGCACGCTCGGGATCCAAACGCGTGTTCACCATTTCCGACATTTTCTCTCTGTTCGCGTGTGCGGCTTCCTTCAGCGCGGAACATTTATCGATGTACGTTTGTTGAACGTCCTCCGTGCACTTGTGGAACTTTTGCGCGTAGTATTGCATTTCGGCCCCCGCACGTCCGTGTCTAGGTTTTCCCGCCGCCTTATACCGCTTCAACCACCTGGTCCGAAATTCCTCAGGCTGATCCTTCGCCCATAGTTGGAAGGGGTGCGCAACATGAACGGTCGCGCGACCAAGCCCCAAGAGTTCGTGCACCATCAGGACCGCTAAATTCTCTCCCGATGTGTCCGAGGGGGCTTGACTTAACAGACGTCTTCCCGCCTTGCCGGGCTTATGTCGCCCTCGCGCAGTATCGCCCTCTTCATCCTTCTTGTAGCGGTATCGGAGCCAATTAGTGTAGCTCTACAACGTTCAGTTAGATAGTCCCTGTTGAATATTGACAACGCGACAAACCACACGAAAGCGCTCAATATGAGCCCGCCTATAAGCTCTAGCTTCCTTGGACTGGATAGACTCCTCTTGCACATCATCTGAATGCTTTCGCTTAGTCCCTCGTGCGTGTCCTCCACCCCGCTGCCCAAAATATTAGTCCCGTAATAAACACCGTATAAAAAATGTGCTTACTTTCTGGGACACGCCTGACGCGTCCGCACTAGGACCGTCAGCCTCAGCACTCTGTCCAGCGCCCTCAGCACCAGGGCTCTGTGTCGTATTCTTGGAGTTCTAGAATACTCCAAGTCAGCGTCGCCTGCCACTAACAAACAAAATAATTCGCACTTTCCGCGCTCCTCGCTCCTGCGTAGTCTCTGGGGCGTCATAAGGCACAAGGTCCTCGTCGTCCATCTCCTGCTCCAACAGCTTCGAATCCGCTCCCCAGGGACCAAGTTCGCCGAAAGCAGCATCATCTCGTTCGAGGCCCGTGTGGCATACGCAGTTCCGTCGTGGGCACTCTTCGCGTTGAGTTGACAGAATTCGGCGACGTGATTGTCGTATGCGTATTGTCGGGCCTCGCCACCAAGCCAACCTTTGAGGAATTTTGGGACCCACACCTTGCCAGAGTCCGAGTCGCTTTCGGAAACCTCCGATTCGTCACTGCTATCATATGCTGCTTAGCAAGCAATCCTTTCACATGTTCTACGACACTTACTTTCTCTCTTTCCTTTTCTTCGCCATGACCTCTAGTAGTCGTTCCCTCTTGCGCGTGGCACTCAAGCGGATCCGTTTCTGACTCTTTCTGCACGACGGATATTCTAAAAGCGGAAGCCCATTTACCCATTCTAGGATGAACAACCTTGTTGCACGGACGCCGCAACTATACAGTTGTAACCCACGCTTTGGGTATTTAAACGTCGATTTTGCGCTACCGGTTCCTTACCTCCTCTCACTCTTATTCAACCATCTCGTCTTTCAGCAATATGGCCAAAATGACCCCGAGCAAGCCGTCGACAGTGACGACCTCCTCCGTACCTGCTTCCTTGGTTTCTCGACGCGTCTGTAACTAATTAATCTATGTTAGATATTGCCCAGCGCCTCCGCGACATCCAGCTTACCCCTCAAGAGGCGGGTCTCCTCACAGACCTTATTGGAATCGCTACAGCCCGCTTTGAAGGCATGTCACGCCGTGGTTTGAGTTCCTGTCCTCTTTCACTGACGTCCTTTGTACAGAAAATGCAGCGCCAACTGGCAAGTCTATTCTTTTCCCGGCGTTTCGTGTTCTGGCTCATCCATTTCAGCCACGAATGCGTCCGCAACCCCTCCCGCCGGTAGGTTGACTCCGATATCTTGCCTCGCGTTCTAATTAAAAGCGGATCAGTTTCAGGGCAATCTAGCTCCATCGGCGTCTGTATGTCCCTTCTTCCAGTTCATGCAACTCTCGACGACTGACGTACTCCCAAGTTTCCGTCCCACCCGCGTACGCCACCCAGACGTCCGTGACTACCCCCGCCGCCACTCCCGTCGCCACTGCAAGCCAGGCCCCGGTAGCTCCCGGCACTCAGGCTGTTAGCGCTGTACCTGCTGCTCCCGCCACTACTTTGTCTGCCGCGCCCGCTGTGGCTTCACCTCCCGCATCCACGGCGGTCACGCCTGCTCCCGCCCAGCCCGCTACTAACGGCGGTAGGTTATTATTGTCTCTTCCAACACCGATGCTCAAATTCCCGTTGTTCAGGTTATCAGTTCTTCCAAGTTCTTCCCGCCAACTATAATTATACCCGCCCCTCTCCTGGCACACCTGGTCCGTACTACGTTATCACTAGGGGCCGCGTCGTCGGGATCATTGCAGGATGGTCCGTATCATCGCTTGTTATCATATTTGGTGGTCTATCTAACGGATTTTCAAGGGACCGCGCCTCTCCTAACTGCATCGGCGTCAGCGGCGCCGTATTCCGGTCCGTTCCCAGTGCTGACGTCGGCAAACAAGTTGTCGAGGCCGCCCTAGCGGGCGGTGCATGCATGCTCCTTCCTTAGATCCTTGTTCTTGTTGTCGTGTGGGAGCCGTCCTGCCTCTTCTGTCCTTACGTGTATTGTGAATCGTCTGTCTTTACGTGCCAAT